CGATAAGAATCACCATGAAATCGATACAAATTAGAGGATATCGTCAGGTAAAGCCCAAGTCTATACAACAAATCACCAATGAATACGAAAACACGGCGTTCCGTGCAGAGGAATCGTAAACAGTATGTTAGTTTTTTTACCGGAATTGTAAAGACAACCGGCTTTGTGTTTAGAGGAAAAAAATCGAAAAACACGCTTAACGTTTTAAAGCATTAAAGCCGCATGTTTTCGCCCACTGTAGCACGGTAACAGGGAAGTTGTAGTTTTTTCGTTTTAACAAATTCAATTTCTGTGAAACTATGTTGTCAAATTCTATGTGCGAATAGAATAAATACGGAGATAACGATCTTTCATTTTCGAGATTCACCATTCATCATATATTAAACTGACATTAGAATAAAATCCTAGCTCCAATAGTGTTATTCTGGTGTAACACAGAGAGAAAAAAGCAAGAAGAAAACTAATAGATTAGACTCGATGATAAATGTATAAAAGTATTAATGATGTAATCTTAGTCTAGAATAACTACATTTGCAGCTAACACTGGTCATTCATCATGTGTAAATTAGGCGAATAAAATCAATAATAATATATAATACAAGTTGAGATTACTATGGTATTTGACAAGTGTGTTTTGTTGGCTTTACAAGAACAAAACTAGATAAATGGCATATGTTCCTAGAGTCCTATAGCATCCCTACTGAATCTGTTTATCAACTTCATCCTTTATTTTATTAGTTCGGGCCTTATTGCTTATACTATTGTTACACATGTAATAAACGTGATTTGAGGTTTACAAATACTTAAAACATACATTTGCCGTTTGAGACAAAGGGTAAGTGCAGCATGAGCATGGCCGGCGAAAGCAATTCTTGATTGGGGGGGGGGGGGTCCATCCTAGGTCCTTATAGGTGTGGGTCCAGGGGCCGCAATAACCTAGAGAAAAGAGTACTTGCGGCCCCCCCTAGCCTCCCCACTCCGCCGGGCCTGATGAGTCGAGGCAAACATTGTATTCATAAAGCACAGGAGACCCCGAAGAGTCACATAAGTAACCCAAACCCAAAAGTATTGCGATGGATAGCCTAATAAGCAGCATCTGTGTGTGAGTTGGAGAAAGATAATTGGTCCAAAACGGATTAAGGAACTAGGGCACAAAGCCAAACGTTATGCCAAGGATCCATTAAATGAAACTTGAACTTGGCGAGTCGCAATCTGGCGGTTAATGATTGAAGGTGGAAACCCTAAAGTGCAAATGGTCATTGAAGTTGGTTTTTGTTTTTCGATTTCTAAATCATAAAAAATGTACCCCCCCCCCCTCTCCCTTATGAACTGTTTGAAGAATCTAACAGTTTATTTGTATAAAAGTATGGATGAGCATGATTTACAAAGTAGGTCTACATAAGGCAAATGTTTTACAAAGAAGTACAACAAGGAGGTTTATAATAAAGAGATTCAGAACAGGAGCTAAGTGGACGATGCTTAAAGCTTACATAATATTGGCTGATATATAGCAGTCATTTGGATAATTACTTCATCGTTGTGATTTACTATCTTAGACTAATGGATATTTTTCACTTAGCTTTAGACTTTATACAGATAATAACAACTTGTATTGTTGGGTAGGTAATATCATCACACTCTGTTGTCCAGTTCTTTATCTCAATGACAAAGATCAATTGGTTGACCTGATGCTCTACAAAAGACCTGACAAAAGAGTCTATTACTGATAATGGCGGCGGGTATTAGAGATGACTAGTGTAGTCTTCATTGATAAAATGTCACCAATATACATTAATATCTTAGACCATTAGTTAAATTACATTGATGGTCAAGTCCGTGTTGTCTACTAAATTCCATTGTACTCCAAGAGATCAACAATATTGTTGTACAGAACGCATTTAATACTGGATATGAGCAAACTCAATGCATTTACATGTTTTGCTTATCGCAGTTGTTGATGGCATAATTATTGTATATTATCATGCTACATACTGCGTGTTATTACATACTCACTATAAATTTAAACTTCATGCACGGATTTAATTCAATTATTTTCATTTAATATCAAGCGTTTCTTGCATGGTACCAAACACATTCCGATGCATCGAACGAATGTAATTTGAAGACACGCTGTGATGGAATTGGACATTCAAATCGGTATCGTGCACGCTAATACTTCAATATGTCGGTCCATATAGATAGAGACTAGAAGCTTTGGCTATGCCCATTTATATTAAATACGCTACACTAGCTTTAACAATTCAGTAGTCAAGTTAATTCTACGAAACTAAGTAAAAATCCACTATAAATAACGCAGAACAAATCTGTTGATAACTATCGGTGTTTCCTATTTTCCAACCTAACTACCAGTTAGTAATAATAACAGGGAACACAGTACATAAAAGCAGTGGGCAATATGTTACAATTACGGCTGTCATCCTTAATGACATCGTTACTAATGGAAAAACCCTAATTAGTACTTACGACTTCTTTGTAACCATGGCAACAATCACGACTCATGACATTTCCTGAAAAGATTTTTCAGTTTGGTCTAAAAACAACGAAGAACAGTTTTATAGCTCTTCGGATTTTTTTACAGTCAAATGAGATCTTTTAACAATTTTCACTTTTATTTGTCTTTAAAACAGATTACTTTGCTATAAATGACAACATATCTTCCATGTTGCGAAAATAAATGTTTTGATTAAATTTATTCAATGTCAGAAAATGTTTTTATTTTGTGAAATTGTCGAAATAGTTGCTGCTATAAATATGCTCGAATAATCAGTAGTTGTGCAAACTAACAACAATTCTGAGCTGATTGATCAAATTTGACGTCTTCACGAAAGATTTTAAAGGGTTAATATATTACAGAGTTTTTGATACAAGTTTGTTGTGTCAGAAACAAAAATTGATAGCAATTTATTTTGCAGATAATTTTGACCAAATCAATATTTGTTGTGTCGTACACCATATAGGATTGCTGATTAGGAGTGACCTTGATGAATCGAATCCCTAGAATATTATTATTGTATATACAGTAAAATGAGGCCAATAGACAAGGATCAGCTAAATTTTGAAAACGATGATTTAAATCCTCAGAATGATGCCAATTGGTCAAAGTATATTTGAGACAGAAGTATACTTCCAGAGACACAATAAATGTTAGACTATCCTATAAGTTGTTAACGGTAAGGAGAGTAAATATATTTCAGAAAGGTTTCAACCCCAGAAAGGATTGTTGCCTTTGAAAGGTGTTGTATGGTTATCCTCCAGTTCCCAAAACGGGGTTGATTGTATTGATAATAACTGTCCGAAAGGTGATGCAAATATGAAATCCCAGAATGTTTTTTGTTCTAGAAAGGTGATTATGATATAAACTTCCAGAGGAGGAGTTTATTTCAGAAAGGTGTTGATGATATACACATCATGTAGAAATACAAAGAAACACAACTCTTTATTTCCAAAGACAATTCGTTCAGATGGTTAGCTGGTATTCTAAAAAAAAAACATTTGTAAGATTTATCTCAAGAAATATTGATTTTCCAGAAACTTGATGACCGCAATACCTTAAAAGGGGTCAGTAATATTAACTTCGACGGGAGGCGTTCTTCTAAAAAGATGTTAATGTTTTCAAGTTTTGATTGAATGTGTTGATGATAGGAGCTTTGTGCACTGGTCTTCCAAAATGTTGATAAAATTGACTATCAAGATACATGTGTATAGCGACGAATTTGGGGACTTATCCTCAAAAACAAATGGAAACTGGGACTTTGTATTTCTGAGAAAAATTACCACAGAGCTTCAGATAGTTCTAGCTGTCTAGGATGAAGGTTTCTGTCAGAATTAACCAGCTTGATTCACAAATATATATACCTTTAAAATGGTTATCATTTATTTCTTCCTTTAATTGATAAATTGTTCTGGATATAAAACAGACTACAATGATTGGATACGGTTCTATTATTATAAAGTTTTAATATATTTTTAAATACGGTATAAAAACCCAGACTCGATAGAGACTTGGCCTCCTGGGAATATTACAACCTCAGGTCTTATTACTTTATTATAAGGCTGCTATAGTACCGTTTATCTATCTATCCACTTTTTAACTTGATCTATGACACTCGACCATTCCCTTGAGTGCAATACCATTTTGTTTTCTGTAGATTGATGCCTGATAGTCGAGTAATAAGAAATGCCAAACTAGTCTTACAATTGACTAATGGATAGTTTTGGACAACATATTACGGAATATATTCCCTATTGTTTTCCTTATAATCTATGAGACTGGCTTTGTTTTCTATCACAGAGGAAACTAAATATAATCCACAAGCAAGACGTGTGTTTAATCAACGTGTAGTTACATCTGTCATGGTTGATTTTAATTCATCAATATTATTTTGATGTTTTGCTAATTATTTGTTTTTGTAGTGTTCGTATTAAAAGTCTCGTCTGATTGGCAACAGTGACGATCTCGATTTGTATCTACATTTGCGTAATCCGATTATTACGAAACACCAAAAGTATGGAGATGTGAAATCTTAGTACTAATGGAATAAAGTCAAAGAATTGGTGTCGAAGCCTTCAAATCCCTTGTGATCTTTCTGAGGATCATGTTAGATATGTCGTCTGCTTGATTTGCAATTCATGCGTTTTTGCATTATTCCATTAAATCACATGCCATTAAATCTTAGACGTATTATCAGATATATCCCCTGTGACTTCATTATGCATCATAGTTTTTTCTTTAGCGAGATCAAAGGATTATTCAAAATTCTGATATTCTTATTAGGGATATTAGGCTTAGATGTAACACAGTTTTCTTAGTAGTTAATAAAATGGCAAGATTTTTTGCATAAAAACTATCGAGAGTATTCTTTGAAGGTCATGTCATTATTCAAATGACAAATAACGTGAAACTCAAAATGATATCAAAAATTGTAATATTTCTTGATATTGGTTTTGAAAAAAATAAAATAAATCGCATGTTTACTCACCCAGATAAACTAAAACCGTACATCCAGGAGATTTTTTCAATCGACCAACAGAAAGATAAGATAGGAATGATAGCACACAGTTCCCTGAACGAAAGATGACTGAAAACAGGCAGTAATCATAGATTATCTTACAGAAACCCAGTCAGGTGAAGCACAACAAGAGCTTTGAAATGTCAGAAAAAATTCCTTCTACTAGGAATGGCAAGTATCGGCTGCTACCCTAATGTTTCCCGTCACAGCACACCTGTATCTCAACACTGTCGTCTGATCGTGTAGCCATGAACATCAAAGGAATGCAGTAAAAATATTTTCATTGAATTATGTGGATTGTAAGTAGGTAGTTTACGTTGATGATACGTTGATAATGGTTTCCGTCTATTCAAGAGTATAGTTTTCCACTTAACGTATAAAACGTATACTTATTTAAACCACGTTACTTTACTCCTTAAGGTCCAACTTTGATTTCAACCGGCACTTGAGATCTCAATGTAAATGGGTTATGTAAACTCTAAACCTGAATGGTTTCTTCGAGAAATGTTTTCTAATATCACAACAGCGCAGTAATATTTGTTATGCTTTTTCCACGCGGAGTTACCTCATTAGCTGACAGGGAGCACTTGATGATACTATGTATCCTTAACTGGCACTTTTAAACGGTAGATGACAATGGACGATGCCGAGAGCAAGAATATAATCCCATGTATCAATGTTTTCACATACTGATCAATGTTGATTTTACGAGAGAGAAATCACTTGACAACATGATCGCAAATGTTTTAGTAAATCCTTTAGTCACGATTTAAATTAATCACCGAGGGCAACCTTATTCTGAGTAACCTCCTATCACAGTTTTCTATGGATTCAGTTAGAGCAAGAAGTCTGCTTATACACTAGAAGCTAACTAACTCCGTCTACAGAAATTGTTCGAGTGTCCATTTGTCGATTAAACCTTTAGACTAAACGGCCGCGCAATGTTTACCTTCATGACCCCAGTTTTGCCTAAAACAAAACTGTTTGTCTTTGGCGACGTGTACATGCCTTTAAATGTGACAGGGATAAAGTTAACAACCCGTCGTGTGTACTTGGTCCAGTTGGGTCGGGTTTTTACGCTGCAGGTAAAACAGGCCTGTGTCGACACAACATGATTTTACCTCGTTTCACCTGTCAAAACGCAGTAGAACAAATTTATCGTTAATTACTGCCGTCTGTTGACAGGTAAGCAATTCGCGTATTATATCAACTAAGCGTTCTCGACTCGCTCCTCTCCGATCAAACGTTACGACGTCAACAGCTCGGCCACTCGGTTCGATTAAACTTTGTTTCGTCCTATTTCAATAAAGAGAGGTAGACGATATTTTGCTTTGCTTTCCCCATTCCCCCATACTGTGAACTGACAGCCGCTGGAAAAACTAACCCTATTTCATGTTTTGATCGATTGAAAATTGTAACCCGAGACATGTAAGTAGAAATGTAAACGAAAAGTGGGAATTGAATGTCGAGTCTGTATAAGCTGAAATGTTATGTTTGTGTTGAGTTTAATCAGAAACGACTAGTGATTTGATTGTGTGGGGGGTTATTGTCAGCGGTTCGAGCATGTATAGGGCGTACACGTGATAAACGACCGTCCAATTGATATTTGTCAACAGCGTGGGGCTTCAAACATACCGAAACAGATTCATTCTTCAGATTAATAATTTAGAAAAATAAGAGTTTAAATCTCTGTATTAACTCCTATTGTTTGATGTATAATTCGGTGACGGTAACCGGAAAATGTCCCTATATCATGGACATATTTGTGAGCTTAACCCCGTTACATACAGCCTTCACCATCACTTTATAAAACAGTAAACATCGACGTAATAAACTGACATAGAATTTTTAAAGTGTTTCTATATATTATTTTCACATCGCTGTGTGTAATGATTACGTGAAAATTAATGACCAACACCCCCTTTTTTCGCAGTATTGGACTCACCTGCCCACTTGATAAGTTCTAGCTGTCAGTACCCCCTCTTTAGACCATTATAAATTATAGGGAAATGATAAACTAAGCTCAGCGTGACTGACTCTCAAATTAAATACATTCACGAAAATCTATACAACTCGACGGCAATGAAATAAAAGACTGAGTGATTGAGGAACTCGGGTAAACATGAATGTCAAGAACTGATCGTTCTTGTTGACACACGGAGTTTACTAAATATGCAGCTGGTTCATAGAAAAATCCACGAACACAGGAAAAAAACATGTTCTTAAAGACTCGCATTTACAATAGATAATATGCATGTGCATATCATAATCATAATAGCTGCACACGAGAACAAAAGAATATGGGTGTCAATCACAACAAAGGAGACAGATCATGTTACGTGAGTGCACACCACTCCGATCAGACTTGATTTCTCTCACTTGCCGCTCTGAGGTTTCGGATGGTGACGCGACGAGGGTTTTAATTTCATCAAAGACGGGTGAATAGAGCAGATCTATGCACGATGATGTCACATGATAGCTATCTGAACTCTGTTCAATTAAAACGCTTGTTTCACATATTGGCGTTAAATATATTAGATTAAGTATTATACAATTTCCCGCTTATTTTTTTTTATAGGTGTACGTCATGTAGTTTCAGTAAGTTATAATAAAGAACGCTATTGCATACTCTTTGTCAAATTCAAAAGCTTTGCATCTCGTCTAAGACATCACTCTTAAATCTGAACTTCATACAACCAAAAAAGTGCTTGAAGGCAACAGTTCCATTGATTCTTTAATAAAATTGTTCTGAACTGAATCCCTTTAGGGTATCTTGGAGATGAGACACAAGATTATGATTATTGATTCGTAATCTGTAAATGAGAGTCCCTTATCTCAGCTCGTATTACAATCTTTCTTAATGATGCTCTACAATACTGGGATCCTAATTAGAAAAAAATATAATACCAAAAGGACTCGTACGAAGAAAATTAATACCCATGTTCATCATGCATGACTATTATTAATAGGTAATGTATATCTGAACCTAAAGTAAACGCAAGTGTTCGTTTGTGAAGAGAATTGGGGGGTCTTTCCCACAGTATGGGTGATCTGTCATGTCACGTCACTGACAGTAAATAAACTCATGTATAACCAAGGTGGACATATTTTAACATGAACACAAATCATTGTCCTGTGCTAATTAATTTAGGTAGAAGTAGGATACAAGTTAACATGTACCATAACTAGGTGGAGTTTTTATTTAATCTGCTATCCAATTACTCATCTTATTAGAAAAAGTGATGAGCATTCATTATTGGTTTGTTTGATAGAGTTCCGAGTTAGAGGGCTTTGTATTTCTGTGTTGGAAGCCACGGATGAATTGGTACGTATGACATCAACTCACTAACTTGGAGGTCCCGGGTTGACCGAGAACAGTACTCTGGATTTACTAGGCTAGTTTCCCTCGTCGTGTTAAAGATTCCGAACAGTTAGAAATAAAAATAAGAGTAGACCGTAGCGTTGCAGTCCTACAAAATGTTCCAGTTAGCCCAGTGCATGGCGTATACGAGCCTCTTTAGCTCGGTTGGTGCTGAAAATGATAATGGATTGTGTTGAATAGAATCAGTGGGTGCCTACCCCCAATGATCTACTGTAGGTATCTCGATCACGTCGCGTAGAAGAGTAAGGTCTCTGCATGGATAATAAAACCAAACTCCCCGGGATCAAACACGCCCAGGGTTTGATGGCCTATCTATAGACTTCGTCCAAACATCAAAAACACAATTAAATATGACTTTGTACAAGATGTAATAGCAATTTAATTCGAGCTGAGGTAAACATGTAAAGTATTAAAAGTGGATTCATTATTCACGGTGATTACCGTTCTTTGTTAACTCTATGGATATAACAGTTGTAGAGCAGCATGATGTATAAAAAAAACATAACAGATTGTTGAGCTGATGTGAGCGTTGAAACATGCCATAAGCACCTGGTAAACTTATAGTCAATATCAAAAGACAACCGAGTCTAAGTCATCTCGAATTCCTTCTAACGTTAGTCTATTTTCTGTTGAAATAACATTTGCTAGTCTAAAGAGCAGACGTTGAGAAAGAGGAAAATTCGAGCCGAGTTCTACTTAATGTTGTGTAAATCGATTCTGATTTTTGGGGGGAAGCATGCAAAAACCTACATCCTGTGTTTTCTAATGGAAGAGCAACATTGATCCACGTGTATCCAGCTGTCTTGCATCGTCTCGTTCTTCCAGTTGTAAACTCAACACCCTCTCTTCACGGATTTTGTCGCAAAGATATGAAGTGCAAAATCAATCAACAGCCAACATTGTGGCCAATTTTTGCTTAAAAGTTTCTCAATGGCAAGCCGTTGGGATTGATTTGTTTCCAGTGAGCAACCCAATAAATGTTTTCCAATGACAAAACAAAAGCATTGCAACAGTTTAGTTGGCGTAAAAAACGATCTTTTATAGATCGTGCGACGTTGGCGAATAATTGTATATTCGCGTCAGCTTAATTTAACACGAGCGGCATGGCCTTTAGTTGCTTGTACAGGAATGAAAAATGGTCTTGACTCGACAAGATCTCCGAGCACTTATTAACGACAATAGGCACCATGGTGCATTAAAGATTATCCCGATTTAGAAGAACGCTTTACGTTGTAGTACGATGGTGGTGGTACGGATAAAGACATTCTTTATTTGTAATCGTTACCAATGATAGAAAGCAAACACAGAACACAAATAGTATAAAGACAGATACAATCTATATAGGCAAAACGATAAATCCATTTGGCAGGCATCGATTTAATAAAAGGCGACGGTAGACAAGAGTTTAATGGCGATGAGATTGGTTACTGATAGCTTTATGGTGGCGTTTACAAAACTATTCAGTTAACATGGTATAGAAAGATGAAATCATTAGTGTTACTATCTTAAAACATCTAACTTATTACTCTATTATTAATTGCTTGATTTACCTTTCGATAGGTAAAGGTTTTATTTGTTTACATAGGGAACAATAGATACATAAATATCCATTTAGCACCTTTTTGCTAGAAATCTCTATCAGCCATTTTCTACTATTATAGTGGGACTCAATGGCAACACTATCATTATTGTGCTAAATTCCGTTTGTACACTTATACCTACTTTAAAGATGTGGTGCCGAAACGGTTTGAATGGACATTAAAAAAAACCCTCATGAATCTCAATATTGATGATCCAGAACTAAACGCATTCTTACGAGCATTCCTTTTTTTTATTTCAAGCACAATTTAAGCAGAAAATTTAATGAATCTGAATGAATTTATTTTTTTAAAAAAGAGGATTTTTCTGAACGTGATTATTAATAACATGCATAGAAAAGATATCTCCGTCATTCAATATAAAATCATGATTTTTAGATATCATTTTACATTCTTGCATGATTACATGAAAATAATTAAGAAGTCGAATCAATAATTTCCAATCAAAAATGAATAAGAACATGCGTTTAAAGTCAGTCTTTATGAATCTTCAAGCATATCTCTATTTAATACGCAACCTTTAACCTCAAGCACAGAATAGAAGATTGGTATAGACATAGTCTCGGTTATAATACTCTTATAGACACAAGCAAAAAAATAGACACTGATCATGTAAAACACCATTGGTCTGGATAAAAGAATCTTTAATTAAAAGCGGCCATCTTGGTTGACATGTAATTTTATCTGGCTTAAGTAACCCACACCATTTAACACCACCCTAAAATACGTATCCATACCACCAGCAATTTCCAATTAAAATCTGCGTTTCAAATATCGCCCAACTATTTTTCTTCTAGGGTCATATAAATACAGAGGAAAAAATCGTTCAAAAGAGTCTTTATTAAAGGAAATTTTATACTAATTGAGTAAAAATCTGTAAGTATGATGAGTTCTTTCCCCGACTAAATCAATCGCCGAGGACAATATTTAGCTCGTCAACGTTTCAAAATGTCGTTTGACAAGACAAGGTTGCTTTGTACACACAACGCCAAACTGATTTTTGATGACAGGGGATC